TCCATCTCTCCATGTCATGGTCTCTGCCTCTATCTCTGGCATCACTGCTTCTCTAGGTAGGGTCCTGCTCTCTGCTCTTCTCCCTTGATGGTCTCAGGGACCTCCGCTCCTAGACTGCAAAGATAATCACTCCCCTCCTTGCTACAAAATGTCTACCTTTACATTTCCAACCCTCACAATCAGTCCTGATAAAAATTATTCACTATTGTATCACAAGAGACCTATCCGCATTTCCTTTCATCGGCCCCACCTAGACAGATTGGATACTACTCAGTGGAGAGTCTACCTTCCTCCATACCCTCTAGATCTAGATTCCTTCTTGAAAGCTTGTAAGCCAGTCACTTCTTGCCTTTATAACCCCTTCACCCCCATTTTGGGTAGCCAATGTCCAAGTTGCCCATACCTCCCTGTCTAGTCTGTGTATGGGAGGATTGGGAATGATCCTTGCTATAAAGATTTGTTCCCTCTTTTGAGCTACTGCCTCCATAGGTGTAGGTCAAATTCATCAAATTGTATCAGATTAGTGATTTTTTTCCCTCTTCTTTCTTCTTCTGGTTGAGCTCTGATCATCCAGTTATTGAAGCCAGGTCAAACGGGTATTATCTGCAAGTGGGGGTGTTCTAGTGTATATGCCCTCTCTTCTTATCAGCTGGACGCTTCATTTTCCGCTCTAATCCTCTGTGGCTATGTCACTGACTCTGGGCCCAAGAGTCTCCAGGTCTTGCCACATTGTTGGCCAACCAGGTCTCAACCTGGGTTCACTGGAGTCTATTGAACCTTGTAGGGCTTAGCTCACAGCTTCATTGCTGTTTTTTCCTCACTTCCCCTTATCGGTGACCAGTGTGGTCACCACTCAGAGTGCGTATTCCCATTTAGTCTTAGTCTTGGAAGGTGGTTTGCTCTGAGGGGACCCTACTACTTGCCTTGATGTCTCCTGGGCGAGCAACTTGTTTGTTCTTATAGTAATTAGTGGGTCTGCCTATATTGTTTTGTATTTTTCCTGTAGGTCTTTCTTTCAAGAAATATCTTCTGTTCTTCTAGCCACTCCAGGCTGGTCTGCTTGTCCTTTCAAGTGGAAATTTCCCACCTCTGAAGATTCTGGATGTTGTTCAGGATTCCATCTATGGTCTTATGTAATGCAAAGGCTCCGCAGGAAGCCTTCTTTACTGGGCACTTTGAAGCCCCATTTTAGGTATTCCAATCAGTTATAGGCAGAAAACAGACTTACAAGCTTTCTATGGTGATATTTCTGGCTATTCCTTTCTCTCCCCCTCAAGTGTCTATTTTATAATGATATGCCAGGGAAACCAAGATTCAAAAGACAGCCAAGCATCTTAATATTTCTTCCATCTTCTGTTGATGCTTTCTGCATCAGTCAATATTTTACTCATTCGTTGTTGTTGTTAAGTGTCATCGAGTCGGTTCCAATTCATAGCCACCCTGTATAGGGTTTCCGAAGAGCAGCTGGTGAGCTTGAACCACTAGCCTTGCAGTTCAAACCGACTTTGCAGTCCAGCACATTAACCCACAGTGCCACACCAGGACTCCTAATAGAATTCTTTAAAATTGCAAGTCGAGGCTTGAATTTTTTTCTTCAGTTCTTTCAGGCTGAGAAATGCTGAAGAAATTCTTCCTTTTTGGTTTTTTAACTGGAGGTCTCTGCTCATTTACTTCCTGAAAACTTTACTCCATTTGCATCATCACCATCAACACTACTTTGAGGAGGAAGCTCTTCCCCAGTCATATTTTCATTGCCTTCCAACCTGAGGGGCTTATGTTCTGGCACTGTATCTGGCAATATTTCAGTGCTCTTCATCTTGTTTCAATATTCAATATTGTGGTGCTATCTGACAGTGTTCCACTGCTATTCATAAGGTTTTCAGTAACTAAATATTTGTAAGTAGTCCATCTCTTCTTCTTCCTAATCTGTCTTAGTCTGGAAGCTCAGTTAAAACTGTCTCCCATGAGTGACCCTGCTGATATTTAAAATACCAGTGGCATAGTTTCCAGAATCACAGCAACATTCAAGCCACCACAGTACGACAAACTGACAAAAGAGTGGTGCAGAATGCATGAGGGATTCTCATAATTCAACAGTAAAGATAAATAAGTAAATATCACAACCCAATTAGAGTATGGGGAAAAGCCATGAAGAAACACTTCACTGAAGAAATGCAGCTAGCAGACAAGTACATGAGAAGATGTTTAACAACATTAGTCATTAAATAAATGCAAACTAAAAACCACAATGAGGTGTCACTACACACCTACCATAATGTCTGAATATTAATTTTTAAAATTCTGACAACACAAAATTCTGGCAAATATGTGGAGAAACTAGATCACTCATACATTGCTCATAAAAATGTAAAATGGTATAGCTAAAGTTTGACAGTTTCTTGAGAAAAAAAAATAAACTAAACTAAAAACTTGTACATAGTTATGCAACTGTATTACTGACAATAATCCCAGAAAAATGAAAGCTTATGTTCATGCAAAAATCTGTACACAAATGTGTATAGCTCTATCTGTAATAGCTCAAAACTGAAAATAACCTAGATGATGTCTTTCAATGGATGAATGGTTAAAACTGTGGTACATGCCATGAAAAACTACTCAGCAATTAACTTAAAACAATGAACTATTCATACATGCAGCCACCAGGATGAATCTCCAGCACAATGAACTGAATTAAAACAAATCCCAATTTATAGGACTCCATTTATCTAACATTCTTGAATTTACAGTATCATGGGAAACAGATTAGTGGTTGCCAGGAATTAAGGAGGGTTTGGAAGAAAAGTAGGTATGTCTATAAAGGGGTCATCATCAAGGATCAATATCCTGCCTGTGATCATATTATCCTCTTAGTTCTGTAAGATGTTACCATTGGAGGAAACTGTATAAAGTATGAATGCCATCTCTCTGTAGTCTTTCTTTTTTAGGTTTTTATTGTGAATTGAGTGATAGTTTACATGGGAGAACATGTTTTACACTCATCGTTTCATTGCAATGATCATGATCTCCTCCGTGCATTATCATTTAACAGTATTTGCTTCTATTTCCTCTGGGTTTGGTTTTTTGTTTATTTGTTTTGTTTTGTTTTTTGGTGGTGGGGGGGGGAGATACACAAAAACAGTGAGGAATATATAATCATTTAAACAACCCAAGAGCACATTTTGCAAGCCTGCCTCCTGGTCGCCAGCACACATTCTTTCTCTTTCCATGAGTCTAGAGTCCTCAGCTGCTCCCTCTCTCCATGTCCTCATCTGACCTCCATCTCTGGTGTCACTGCTTCTTTGGATAGGGTTCCACATTCCACTTGTGCTCTTTTTCCTTGATGGTCCTAGGGTCCTCTGTTTCTGGACTAGAAGATTAACTACTTCGCCCTTTTTGCTACAAAACCTCTACCTTTACAGTTGTGACAATCGTCATTAGTCATGGTCTCTGTATTATTTCTTCTTTTTTAATTGAAAAAATTTATATTTAGAATTAGCCAGTTGGACTTAGTTTGTTGTTTTGTTGCTATGTGCCATCAAATCGGTTCTGACCCATAGCGACCCTGTATAGAATTTCCAAGGAGCAGCTAGTGAGCTTGAACCACCGACCTTGAAGTTCAAATGACTTTGCAGTCTGATGCATTAGCCCACAGCACCACACCAGGACTCAGTTTAGATGATCCCAATTTTGTTGGCAACATCCAAAGCATTGTAGTCAGGAGCCAGTTGAACATATGCCTTCTTTTCTCCATCAGGCCTGATTAAGGTATTGGCCTTGGCTATATCAATGTCATAGAGCTTCTATACAGCCTGTGGGATCTGGTGCTTGTTGGCCTTGACATCCACAATGAACACAAGTGTGTTATTATTATTGTCATTCTTCTTCATGGCTGATTCAGTAGTCAGAGGGAACTTAATGATGGCATAGTGGTCAAGCTTGTTTCTCCTGGGGGCACTCTTCCGAGGATATTTGGGCTGCCTCCGGAGCCTCAGAAGGTGGGTGACATAAGGATCTTCTTTTTTGTGTGTGAGGCTGTAGATGCCTTTCAGCACTGCCTTCTTGGCATTCAATGTCTTTGCTTTGGCTTCAGCTTTGGTAGGGGCAAGGGCTTCCTTCTTCGCCGTCGGCAAAATCTCCATCTGTATTATTTCTTACAACTGTATTTGCATCTACAATTATCTCAGAATAAAAAGTTTAATCAAAAACAAATTGAATGAGGTACTCCACTCCACAATGGACCAGGATTGGGGGCGTGGATGGCCGCTGTGCGTCTGTTCCCAACGTGCCCCTAACTCCGTGTCTACTCCCGTCCTTCGGCCTGAATCCGCGGAGCTCCGCGTCCTGTCGTGGACCTACCTGCTCTTAGACTTTCCGAAGGTGAAGCGCCGGAATGGCTGTCCCCCTACCAGTGTGAAGCATGCTCCTGGGGAAAGACAAGTGATATGCAAGAATTGACAATCCCTGAAAAAGAAGCCAAACTAGAGACGTAAACAATTTAAGACAGCGAAATGTTTATGAAGAGCGAAAAAACTGTCTGCCAAGAACAATAAAAGAGTTTCAAAGGGTCAAATCTGAACTTTGGAACTATCTCTGCACCATAGGCTTATCTTGGATGACTGAAATTCGCGTTTCCCTTCATATACCCATTGAAGAAACCCTATGCTTTTGTTCATAGAGGTAACAAAGATAATCTTAACCAGAATCCAGTGAACACCATCGTAACAATCGGCTAGATTCGTCTATTTTTCCGCACGGAGCCCTTTCTCGGATGCACCAAATGGCACACAAAAGGAAGCAGAAGTCTGAGTTCTCATTTTGGCTTGCTCTTTCTCCACAGACGGGGAGAGGATCCCAGTCAGCGATTCAGCTCCACAAAGGACCAGGATTGGAGGCGTGGATGGCCATTGTGCATCTGTTCCCAACGTGCCCCGGAGCTCCGCGTCCACTCCCGTTCCTTGTCCTGAATCCTCGGAGCTCTGAGTCCTGTCGGAAACCTGCTGTTAGACTTCCCGAAGGTGGAGCGCGGGAATGAGAACAGTGATCATTGATGATGTGGCTGTGGTCTTCACCCACGAAGAGTGGGATTTGCTGGGATCCTGCTCAAAGAAAACTCTACAGATATGTGATGATGGAAACCTTGAGAAACTTGGACTCAGTCGGTAAAATCACAGAATCACATGGTTGGAAGGATCACCTTGACAACCACAGGAGACATTTGAGAACTGGACCAGTCGACAACTTCTGTGAACGTTCTGAAGGCAGCCAGTGTGGGGAAACCTCCATCCTCATTCCTGATTTTACTGTGCACCACGTAGATCCCACAGAAGTAGATCCTTTTGAATGCTGTGAGTATGGAGGAGCCTTCCTGGATCATTCCCTGGAGAACAATCATAGTAGAGCTCACACTGGAAGCAGTACCTGTCAGTGTCTAGACTGTGGAGAAGACTGCAGGTGTCCCTCTCACGTGAGCACTCATGATGGACAAAATAACCATAAATGTAAGATATGTGGGAAAGGCTCCCTTTGTATCTTAATGCTCAAGAATCCTGTCTCAGCAGTCACCAGGGATGAACGGTGTGAATTCAGCAAATGGATGGAAATTTTCTGTAGTTTCTCACCCTTTAGGACACCTGTGGAAGGTCATCAGTGTGTATGTAAAGAATGTTTTAGAATACTCTTCCTTTATCTCTCATTTTACATAATAACTCTAATGAGAGAGAGGAGCCTCCTCCCTCACTCAACAGGTAAATACTCACAGTGGAGAGAAGCCCTCTAAATGTGAGGAATGTGGGAAAACTTTTAGTGATTCCTCAGGCCTGACTGCACATAGGGTAATCCACAATGGAGAGAGACCCTATGAATGTAAGGAATGTGGGAAAGTCTTTAGGTATTCCTCACAGCACAGTAGACATATGCACACTCACAGTGGAGACAGACTCTAAGAATGTAATCAGTGTGGGAAAGCTTTTAGCCAAACCTCAAGGCTCACAAGACATAAAACTGTCCACAGCGGAGTGAAACCCTATGAATGTAAGGAGTGTGGGAAAGTCTTTGTTTCTTGCTCAAACCTCACTGTACATAGGTGAATTCATAGTGGAGAGAGTCGTTATGAATGTAACGAGTGTGGGAAAGCATTTAGGGAATCCTCAAACCTGATTACACATAAAAGAATCCACAGCGGAGAGAAGCCTTATGCATGTAAGCAATGTGGGAAAGCCTTCAGACAGTCCTCACACTGCAGTATACACATGCAAACCCACAGTGGAGAGAGGCCCTATGAATGTAAGGAATGTGGGAAATGTTTTAGGGATTCCTCAGTTCTGACTGAACATAAATGAATCCACACTGGAGAGAAGCCTTATGAATGTAAGCAATGTGGGAAAGCCTTCAGACAGTCCTCACACTGCAGAATACACATGCAAACCCACAGTGAAGAGAGGCCCTATGAATGTAAGGAATGTGGGAAAGCCTTTGGCAATGTCTCAGGCCTCATAATAGTACATAGAAGGAACCACAGTGGAGAGAGGCCCTATGAATGTAAGGAATGTGGGAAAGCCTTTGTCCAAGCCTCAGCCCTCATAGTACATAAAAGAATCCACAGTGGTGACAGGCCCTATGAATGTAAGGAGTGTGGGAAAGCCTTTACAGGACTCTCAGGCCTTAATGTACATAAAAAAAATTCACAGTGGTTAGAGGCCCAATGAATGCAAGGAGTGTGGAAAAGCCAGGAAAAGAACCTTATCCCTTAGTGCACATAGAAGAAAACAGTGGTGAAAGGCTTTACACTGGTAGTGTAAAGAATATGGAAAAGCTTTTACAAGAGTTTCAGACCTTACTAAACATAAATAGAATCCACATTGCTGAGAGGCCCTATTAGTGTAAGGAATGTGGGGAAAGGTTTACTCATTTCTCAACTTTCCGATCACATAGAAATATCCACAGTGGAGAGAGGCCCTATGAATGTAAGGAGTGTGGGAAAATGTTAACTCATCGCTTAACCCTCCTTTCACATAAAAGAATACACGGTGGAGAGAAACCATATGTATGTAAAGAGTGTGGGAAAGCCTTCAGATTTGCCTCACAATACAGTACACACAAGCTATTCCATAGTGCAGAGAAGCCCTATGTACGTTAGCAGTGTGGGACAGCCTTTACTCAGGCCTCACACCTCACTGTACATAAAAGGATTCATAGATAAAAGACTTCTTTATGTCCAATTTTAGATGTTTCTTCCATACAGCTACTATGAAGTGAGCAAAATTCAAAATACTGTGCATAATGTGAGCAAAGTTCTCACAGAAATATGACAGCTTCATTGTAACTGCAGGGATATATCCTCATCATTGTTATTTTGCCATTCACATAATTCACAATAAAATATTTAAAAAAACAAAAACAAATTGAATGAGAGTACATGTTTTCACTGCCTTGTGATGTTTTAAAATGTACATGTACATATATCAAAGGTCATCAAATTGTACACTTTAAATACTTGCAGGCTTTTGCAAGCTATTTATATCACAATAAGGCAGGGAAGGGGATACTTTCCTTCCTTTCCTGAAGGATTCAGTCCTATAGTCACTAGGGTTACTAAGCAAATTAGGCATTCACACCAAAGTTGGATAGGAATGTTGCAATGTTTGAAAGCTAAGTGTCAAAGCCCATAGAGGTTGAAGAAGGGGTGGCATTTAAGATTTATGTGATGCAGGGTGTGGATTGAGTAGGGTGTCTACATAATTCAGCTGCCAAGCACAGAAGTTAGAATGAAAGGACTGGAAAATTTTGTGAAAATTTGAGCACCCAAACTATTTTGATAGTAACATTACAATCAGTTGAATCAAGCAGGAAACCCGTGATTTCACGTGCTAGAAATAGTAAGTAAAATGCTATCTCAAGATAGAAGCTAAAACTTATAACCTGTAATATGCAGATGTCAGAGTGGCGTTGTAGGATAAACACTAGACTGCTAACTAAAAGGTTGGCATTTCAAACCCACCAGCCACTCTGAGATACAGGGTTGCTGTCTCAGAAATGATACCCCCAACACAACAAGAACAAAAACTTAAGAAAAACTCAAACCTGGTGATGCAGTGGTTGAAGAGCTCAGCTGCTAACCTCAAAGTCTACAGTTGGAGCCGACCGGATGCACCACGGCAGAAAGATGTGGCAGTCAGTTTCTGCAAATATTACAGCCTTGGAAACTCTGTGGGGCATTTCTACAGTATCCTGTAGGGTCATTGCGAATCAAAATCGACTGGAAAGCAGTGGGTTTGGGGTTTATGCTATAGATAAACTCACCATTAGCTATTTACCCAGGCAAGCAATACTCAGTGTAGACTCAATTCAGTCGTCAATACTGTTACTACTGTCATCCCTGTGGTGATCAATCCAGAAACTGAAACTGCAGAGAAGGGGCCAGACTCCTGCTGGCCCAGATCTAGGGCCTTGATGGCCTCTGATGCTCACCTCACAGAAGGAAATGATGGCTGGAGGGAAGGATCCTTCAGGCAGGACACTGGGACAGGTCAATTCCAGGTGCAGAAACTCTCAACAGAAACTCCTTCTTCTCGAATGGAGGTAAACCTCAACTCTAGTCCTGCAGGAGCGAAAGGCACAGAATCCAGAGGCCTGATTGACCCCAGGAACCCACAGCAAGCATGTGACTCAGCACCGCCCCACCACGTGACTCAGCCCCAGAGTGCGGGGCGGGGCTTTGCTTGGAAATAAAGTCCCCAGCGTCCATTCTTCGAGAAGTCTCTGAGAAGCTGTTGGGGTCTGTATCCTGAGACTGGAAGGGTGTCCAGGTAGGAGTGCTCCCTGCCCTGGGAAAGGTAATTAAGTTGAAAGTTCACAGCGAAGTGTGAAAAGTGTTGTGAACTAGAAAGCCAGGACAGATCCCAGCTTAGGAGGGGCAAAGAAGCAGTTGTTGTTGTTAAGTACCGAGAAACTAATTTCTGTAGAATAGGAAGGAAAGAAGGTATGTTGTGTATTTTGCTTTTTGGTTTGCTTGTTTTGCAGTTTTCATGGGGAGTCCTGTGGGTTAGTTAATGCGCTGCACTGCAAAGTCAAGGTCACCGGTTCAAGCTCCAGTCGCTCCTTGGAAACCGTATACAGGGTCGCTCTTGGTCAGAACCGGCTTGACGGGACTTAACAACGATAACAATAACTCCTCCCTTAAGAGCTGGTCCAGCACATACGGTCCTCAAGTTGTTGTTGGTAAGTGTCATCGAGTCCGTTCCGAACCATAATGATCCAGTATAGGGTTTGCGAGAGTGGTTGATGAGTTTGAACTGCCCTTCTTGCCATTAGTAGTACAGTGCTTGTCCTATAGTGCCATACTACAACTCTGCTCAACAGGTAAGAGAGTGAAAAGGTTATATAGTAAATAGTTTTGAGTACACTGGAGAGAGAATTGAGAAAACAATTATATAAGGTCCAGGGAAAGGGAATGTTGCATCTTTCCTAAACTGGCATGTCCCACGTTCACAAGAATGCTTGTTGTTGTTGTTGTTGAGTGCCATGTCGTCAGTTCAGATTCATGTTTTTGTTGTTAGGTGCCATCGTTAGGTTCTCTGTCATAGTGATAGCAGTGCCCATTTCTGTGCCATCCTCTCAATTGATATATTTGAGCCATTGTTACTGTCACAGTGTCAGATCATCTTGTTAGGGGTCTCCTCTTTTTCGCCGACTCTCCACTTTTCAAAGCGTGATATCCGTTTCTAGGGACTGGTTTCTCCTGATATCTCAAAAGTAGGAAAGACGAGATCTCACCATTCTCACTTCTAAGGAACATTCTGGCTGTACTTCTTTAAAGATAGATTTTTTTTGTTCTTCTGTCAGTACTTTTAATATTCTTCATCAGTATCATAATGAAATGCAGTGGTTTTTCTATGGTCTTCTTAACTCATTGCCCAACTTTCACACATATATGAGAAAATTGAAAATACCATGGCTTGGATAAGGTGCACCTTAGTTCTCAAATTGACATCTTTGCTCTTTAAAACTTTAAAAAGATCTTTTGCAACAGATTTACCTAATGCAATATGTCTTTTGATTTTTTGACGGCTGCTTCAATGAGAGTTAATTGTGAATTCTAGCAAATTGAAGTCTTTGACAATTTTAATCCCGTCTCCATTTATTATACTATTTTTGGTCCATTTCTGAGGATTTTGTTTTTCTTTACATTGAGATGCACTCTATACTGAAGGCTGTATGTAGTCTTTGATCTTCATCACTAAGTATTCTAAATCCTCTGTGCTACCAGTAAACAATGCTATATCAACTGTACATCACCTGTTGTTGTTAATGAGTCTTCCACCAGTTCTGATGTTACGGTCTTCTTCATATAATCCAGCTTTTCAGAATATTTGCTCAGCA